ATATATATATGAAAAACTTACCCACTCAAGATTCGAACTCATTTCTTCTGTGTATATGTGCCCGATAGCGAAGAGTCTAACCGTACAGGTGCAAGCATAGGGTGAGAGTGACAGAAACTAAATATGGATCAAACACGCACATGTATTGGGTTGGTCAGTGATATTTTTTTTTTTAAACAAAAAAAACATAAGAAAGTTCCCCGACTTGGGATTCGAATTTGCGTCTTAATAATAATAATTATTATTATTATTATAATAATACATAACTATAATAATAATAATAATAATAACAAAAATAATAATAATAATGTATTATTTATTATAAATAACTATAATAATAACAATAATAATACTAATACTGATAATGATAATAATAACAACAACAATAATAATAATAATAATAAATATTTGTATAGCGCATATCCCCGCTCGAAGGCAAGCTCTAAGCGCGCTTTACACTATAAGTATACACCAGCAGACCATAGAACACTCTGAAACATTCTCAGCTTCAAGGGAAGTGTACAGAGCAAGCAGCTGATTAAGCGCTCAAACACTAACAAACTGACAAGATCTTTCACTGTCTATAACTGAGTACCCATTCCCCCCTTGGTGAAGTGAGGAAAATCCGTGTAAAGCGTCTTTCCCAAGGACACAACGTCGGGCCCCTGACAGGATTCGAACCCACGACCTCATGGTTGCGAGTCTGAGAGCCATGTGTCCAACAGCGAAGAGCCCAATTGTTAGGCTTACACCAAGTCGCAATGACAATTTTTTTTAAAATAAACTGGTAGTGGTTTTACGGCGCTCGCAACAGCATAAGGTCACCTTAGCGCCAAGGGGTGGATGTCAACAGAGAAGTCCAAACAGGGAATCAGGTTTACTCTGCTCACCTCTCTAGCTTCAACAGCACAAAGTCTGCTTCGACTATCAAGGTACCCCGGAAAAAGCAGTTCACAAGAGAGTGACAAACATACAAAAGAAGTAGAGGGGAAATGACGACAGGAAGGAAGAGGAAAGAAAAAGCAGCAGTCCCCCCGGCATTGATATTAACCAGCCAATTTACAATTCTACAATGCATAAGAACATGTTAATACCCCCCCCTTTGAGAATGGTCTATATACAACTTCAGTCAGTAGCACTGTCCTGGTGGGGTCGGGCGTATCATCTTAAACCCTGTTTATTTGTCTAGCTGTTGGTGAATAAAATATTCATTTACTTTGAATACACATCGAGATATTTGAGACAGAAAGAGCTGGGGGCCGTATGGTGTCAAACAGAGGTTAATTTCGTTTTAGTATTAGTAGAGGTATTACGGCGCTCGGAACTGCATACGGTCATATGAGCGCCAGAAGATTAGATCTGTTACAAGAGAGTAACAAACATAAAAAAAAGAAGAAGGGGAGATAAGGACGATAGATGTTTGATAGAACAGAAGGAGCAAACCACACCAGAGCACCCGCCAACCACCCACAGATGTTAATTAAGTGAAAGAGCAGC